ATTACATATAGTACTCAATATTTTATATTACATATAGTACTCAATATTTTATATTACATATAGTACTCAATATTTCATATTACATGTAGAACCGAATATTTTATATTACATGTGGTACTGAATATTTTATATTACATATAGTACTCAATATTTTATATTATATGTAGAACTGGATATTTTATATTACATGTGGTACCAAATATTTTATATTATATGTAGTACTGAACATTTTATATTATATGTAGAACCAAACATTTTATATTATATGTAGTACCGAATATTTTATATTATATGTAGAACTGAATATTTTATATGTAGTATTGAATATTTTTTCATACTTGTAACATATGACTGCTACACACAAACTGAAGTCAGATATTATATGAAGTCAGAAAATAAATAAATAAATAGAAAGACTGGAGAAGAAGAATAATCTCATAGATTTATGTAAGTCAGTGTCGTGGTGTTTTAGTTTGAAAACAATACTAACATGCATTTTACTGAATTGTGAAAATGAACAAATTATCGTACTTTTACTCAAACCTGAAATTTTTATTTTTCTAATGATAATTACATTGTTATCATTTAACTGCTTCCTATGACTTGTGACTTTTCTGTCTGTGAGTCAGTCATGTTCAATGTTCTTTACTAACACATTACAGCCCGAAATTATGACGACAGGCTCCTACCTTCTCCTGTTACTCTTCACAGTTTTTCTAGCACTTAATGGCATTACCCAATTTAATGATGTTTTGTATCCGTGTTCCTACATAACTGGAATAATAATTTATTTTCTTTGTAATTAAATTATTACATTAATGTTTCTTTTAAATTAACAATAAGTTATGACTTGTACACTCACCCCATCCCATTGCAGCAATCTTTTGTTCTAAATGTTGTATGGTCTTCAATTCCACAAACTCCATACAAATTGTAAGTCCCATACAGAGCTGCATGCAGATAGATGCTAACAGGAAAAACATCACAAGGGAAACAACATGTGGGTAGTACTCCTAAAAAGGAAAAACAAAACAAGATAGAAGATTAATAAAAAACTCCAAAATGCATGTCAAATTTATTAGCTTGAAGCTTTACGTTTTCTGAATAAAACAAATTTGGATAAATATGCCTGACGTCAAACCATCAAAAATGATTGACTCAAGTTTATATCTTCAATAATGTAGATTTGAAAAACAAAATACAGATGCATGTAAAATAGATAAAGCAGAGCTGAAATGCTATTATACTCTTCTTACTCGAAATATGTATTGAGTGGTGTGATAAAAATTATTACTGGTCTTGTTTTGATGTAATATTTATTGCATACCGATCAACAACCAGCTGCATCTGTTTCTTTATCATCATATCAAACAATTACCAACATTCTTCTATTACTAAACATACACAGACACAAAGCTTGTTTGATTTTCTACTTAGAGTAAAACAAAAGAGAAGGGTATGTATTACAAATCCAAGATCATTGTGGAAAATAAAAACACTCCAAAAAGCATAAAAATTACAGTGTGTGATAACTTTTCTTTTTTAGTTATAGGTGATAATAAGCTTTTAGTCCGATGCTGTATCAGATTGTTATATTATAATATACTTTGATATAATACTCTGCTGAATTACTACTAATGAATGAAGATACTATCCATACATTATCCCGCATATTCTTAATATAGTTTATTTAAAAGATATAGGTAACTCATATATTACTAAGATTAAAAATATTTACTGCAAAGTTAAGCAGAAAACACCCTGTTTTAAATGTACTGAAGTAATTCATGCAAATATTTACTATATATATATTTGGTAAAGCAGAGTAAAATAATTAAGTAGTATCAGGAGATCCCAAAATAAGAGTGGTTCCGTTTGTGGCAAAAGCACTCAACAGAAACCCAATCTAGTGGCAAAGGAAAAGAAAGATTATATTCACAGCTGCAAAAAATCATGGCACAAAAATATTCTTGGGAGTAGAATAGATATAAAAATCACAATTAATTTCTGTATTTTTTTCACCAAAGAACCTACAGTATAGTACCTTGTGCAATGATTCATGTAAAGCCCCCATAAAACTACTGTAAGCTCCAAGTACAGCAAAGCAAGACTGAATCTTCAAAGCTGTTAGAGGTCCTCTTATCTTCCTGAAAAGTAAAATGTAACAGCACTTTGAAAAAATAATTAATTCTAAGTGTGTGTTTTTTTATTTAACTGTGCCACCAAAACATTTATAAGTAATCAAATCACTATAGTACTCCCAATAAATACCGCAAAAAAAACAAACACAAATTTTTGTTCTAGGGTTCACAACCAACATGCAACCATCCAGGGTTAACTTGTGATAATTATGTCTAGGAAAACGTGGAATTTAAAACTGGCAGAAAATATATTTCTTGATATTTTATTCATTCATGATTTCAAAATTTACAAAACGTCAGGCAAGATTACCAGAACTGAATTATTTGCGATGTTCATTTCATAAGTTTCAATACAAGCTCATAGTAGGATACTACTGGTGCTGCCCATAAGTGGAAGTGAGAAAAGTACACAGATTTAGTAGTCAGGACAAGGGTTGGCAATGCAATTTGTACCAAATCATGTTTGGTTGTCACAAGGGTTTATTGGATAGGCTACTATGAGGATGTATAGGGCCATAGGACTATGCGGTAATGCAAAAGCAGAGGCCACTAAAATTACACAGGAGGAAGAGGAAAATGCATCTATCCTGGAGCAGTATTGGCAAACTAATGCTGCTGATCCTGCCTGTCTCAAATATCTAGATGTAGGGTTAGAGATGTTCGAAAACAGGTATCTGTCTGAGGACCAGTGTGCTGGCAGGGCATATTTTGTAAGTCCTGATGTCATGAACTAGAACACTTTTAGATTAATGGAAACTTGTCACGGTATTACAGGTAGATCAAGTGCTACCTTCTAAAACAATCACCCCAATATTCTAATAAGTCTAAAGGATCTACTGTCTTCTGATTTGTTTTAAATAAACACTTGATTTTCATGTAAAGCACTGAAATTCTTTATGTAGAAAGAAATGTCCATCTTTTTGTTTTTGTTTGTAAAAATTAAGTATGCCTTTCTATGTCTTCTTTATTTAATACATATATTTCCTAGAATTTAGTAGTAATTATCTTCAATTTTGGGAAGGCCTCCAACATGCTAAGGGTGTTAAAAATCTACACCAAAACACTTTAAGTATTTGGGAATTTCCGCAGATTTCTAGCTTCACTACTTTGAATCCCTATAATAAAAGTAGTGTTTTATTACTTCTCAAGTCAATCAAGTAGTCATCTGATAATGATTCTTTTATGCAGACAAATAAAAAAACTTATTATGGTAAACACACAGTATTATGATGGATATGTGTGTCAATAAATTATTTCCATAATGTATACATGTATAGCATTCAATACTTTATTTTTTTATTTACATGTTAAGCTGAAGACGTTAAAGTAGAATTTAACACTTACCTCCAACATATCAGCAAAATTAACACTGTTATTAGTACCAGGCATATACATAAAGCACACCCAACACCAACTATGATATCAAACCCTTCATGAATATGGGGAACCTAAATAATCATAATAATGAAGAACCAGTAAGTTTTTAATGAAATCAAACAAATGGATACTGTAAGAAACTAGGTCAGCATGTCATTACATTAGCTAGCATCTCAAAACAAATTCACAAAACATTCCACACAACGGAGTCATTACCATATTTGTCATACATAACTGTACAGTTTTACTTTTAAAATAATTTATACATAAGTAACAGTAACATATTTCAAGGGTAATCTTCCTAGGCCGTTTACCCGACTCATTTAATATCCCTGCATCCCAAGATAACATAATAAAATAGTAAGTTAGTTTTTCACAAATGGATTTTACATGGTTAAATGAGATGCACAAAATTAGTTAAACTGTCTGAACGTTTGTTATTTCTATACGTGTGTGTGTGTCTATATATATAAATCTTGCAAAGTTTTGTACACATCTTAAAGAAACTGCTTTTTCCACCACTAAACAGATACATTAAAAGTACGTGTCAAATGAAGATTTTATTTCTATATCATTTTAATTACTTAATACACAAGAGTATATTTTAGGGAACTATAATTCTTTAAAAATAACTTATACTTTTGTGTCAATCCTAAAATGTTGTGGTCCAAGAATTTAAAAGGTACACTAGCAAAGATTCAGATATGGAAGTTACTACCACTTGTAAATGTAAACAGGATAAATTTAAATCCAGTGTTTCAAACTTCCATACTACACCAATGAAAAATTCATCATTAATGAGTCACCCTTATAACTTGAAAAAAAATGAGAGATTAAACAAAATTAATTTGATAGTACAATGTTAAATATTTAGACAACTTATAATTCAGAGTGAAAGGGGACAGAAATTGTAAATCATAGTTTTAATTACATTTCAAGCCCCCTTGTGGCTCAGTGGTAAGTTTGAGAGCTTATAACATTAAAAAAAATCAGATTTTGATACTGATGATGAGAACAGTACAGATAACCCTTTAGCCATGGTGCTTAGAAATTAACAAACAAAAAAATAAACCATATTTCAAGATTGTCAGTCTAGTGGCCTACTTCATTCCTGAGATACATACAACATTTCAAAACCAAGCTAAATGGAAGCAAAATAGAAGGGACAGCAAAGTTAGAAGTGAACTAAGCTTATCAGGAAATAGAGTGTGGATTAAAATATTATTCCCCCCAAAACAGAATTGCAATTTGATCCTATTTTGATGTATTGGGGACCAAGATATGATGGAGATCAGGGAAAAAAACAATCAAAACTAGCATAAACAAGCAGTTGTCCAATGTACTACTTGCATACCATTCTATTTTCTACCCTAACCTCTTTATCTTATCTTTTTGACTCTTTGTCTCTAGCTGTAAATCTTATTTTAAAATATTCATCTGTTTATAGTGAGCTTAGAGATGAAACAAAGCAGATACTCCTTACTTCCTTCTAGCATTTATGATATTGAGCGTATAACACATAAGTTTATAAAAAAAAAGAATATCAGGTTTAATGCCTCCTGTAGTATTTTCAGATAAAACTTATTTCCCTACAAGTATCAGATGGGAAGACCCACAAATAACAACAGATTCGATCAAGAAACAAGGGGAGTGCGTCTTATACACCAAAAAATACGATACTGTCCTTATATAACACATGATGCTAATAATAATAAAGTTAAAAAGATTTTTAACCATAAAACTGTACTGAGGCTTAAACCTTGAAATTATAAATGAAAATAAATAAAGGCACAAAATCTTTCGATGAATTTTGGGTTTAAAAGTTATAGTAGTCCTTAAAATATTAATAAGTGTCTAGTGATCATGTATGAAACTCCCACCCCTATAAGACAAGAGTATTAGTTCACACTTTTATACCATGGTTAAAGTGAAACACTTTTTCTTTGTATATTTGTAACAGCATAAGACAGTGCAATAAAATTTCTAAAAGACATTCAGTCCTATACCCTTTCTGT